TTGGGTGCTGGCATTTGTCTCAGACAGGTATTCCAATAGCCTTGAAACTCTGTTGAGACTTAATAAGCAAGACTGGAGATAGTGGATTTAACCTGGAGTGTATCAGCTGCCAACGCAAATGAAAGCAAGTCACCATAAAGGAAGGGCAAACAAATTAAACGGCTAATCAAATGGAGGAGGAATTCACAGGAAGGTAGTTCGAAGCAAATTGAAGTTTCCCCCAGGTGATCTCAAAAGCTTTAATTTTCTGTCCTTAATTAAATTCCTCAAATAAATTTAGTCAGACGCCTGAAATAAGGTCTGTGGTTAAGCTGAAAAGATTTGTTCTGCGACATAAAACATATCAGTAAATACCCCACTGGTGGATTTAAAAAACAGCGGTTGCTAACAAGTGTCTAAATGAGAAGAATAAACGTCATCACGCCAACATTAGCCGCGTTTAGCTTAGCGGTGGTGACGTGAATTAATGTCACCGTGCTGTAGGTCCTATATAGCCCAACATTAACCGCCTTTAGCTTAGCGGTGGTGACGTGAAGTCATGTGACCGTGCTGTAGTTCCTTTATAGCCCAACATTAGCCTCCTTTAGCTTAGCGGTGGTGATGTGAAGTCATGTGACCGTGCTGTAGTTCCCTTTTATAGCCCAACATTAGCCTCCTTTAGCTTAGCGGTGGTGATGTGAAGCCATGTGACCGTGCTGTAGTTCCTTTATAGCCCAACATTAGCCGCCTTTAGCTTAGCGGTGGTGATGTGAAGTCATGTGACCGTGCTGTAGTTCCTTTATAGCCCAACATTAGCCTCCTTTAGCTTAGCGGTGGTGATGTGAAGTCATGTGACCGTGCTGTAGTTCCTTTATAGCCCAACATTAGCCTCCTTTAGCTTAGCGGTGGTGATGTGAAGCCATGTGACCGTGCTGTAGTTCCTTTATAGCCCAACATTAGCCGCCTTTAGCTTAGCGGTGGTGAAGTCATGTGACCGTGCTGTAGTTCCTTTATAGCCCAACATTAGCCACCTTTAGCTTAGCGGTGGTGACGTGAAGTCATGTGACCGTGCTGTAGTTCCTTTATAGCCCAACATTAGCCTCCTTTAGCTTAGCGGTGGTGACGTGAAGTCATGTGACCGTGCTGTAGTTCCTTTATAGCCCAACATTAGCCACCTTTAGCTTAGCGGTGGTGACGTGAAGTCATGTGACCGTCCTGTAGTTCCTTTATAGCCCAACATTAGCCACCTTTAGCTTAGCGGTGGTGACGTGAAGTCATGTGACCGTGCTGTAGTTCTTTTATAGCCCAATATTAGCCTCCTTTAGCTTAGCGGTGGTGAAGTGAAGTCATTTGACCGTGCTGTAGTTCCTTTATAGCCCAACATTAGCTTTTTACATTAATATGTGGCAATTATCCTGCTGAATAAAACATGAATGTATAATGAATGTTTGTTATTTTCTGCAATAACCCAAAATCCAATGGAATAATCCCATTGCCTTTTTGAATAGCAGCCAGTAAGGGCTTTGTTTACTAGAAGCTGGGCTCAGAAATGAGATTCCTGTCTCCCGTTGGCCTCTTATTTCACATATTTGCATAATGGATGTGAGGTTCTCTGTAGGGTTAAGTGATCTGTTGTTCCTGGCAATTGGATTTAAAATATCTCAACCTGTGATTCCTCTCGGCCATTTGTAACTGTCAGCGGGTGAGATTGCCCATTTATGCTTTGAACCCTACAGTAAGCGCCCATATTTTCCTTTTTTTAAACCACATTGTATTAGCCTCACCATTCCTCTTGTCCTTGGAGCAAACAAAACAATAGCCTGTCGTGAAAAACCGTGCTGCGGACTGTGCTTAATTTCCATTTGTCTACTTTTCAGGCAATTAGAGGCTTTTAAGCAGATTTTTCAGTGTATTTGTAGACTACATATCAGTTACAGGAAAGAAAAATGGACCATCTTACATAATTAGATGTAAGTAGATTTAACATCATGCATTTTCTCCCACTTTTTTTTGCTTCCTTTGAAGTATTTGCAAAACACAAATAGTGCTTTAAAGTAAATAGTCTTCATTTATATTCGTTTACGTTTTTTTCTTCACCTCCGAGGCTTGGCAGTTTCCAGAGAAGTTTTTCAAAGTGTTCTTCTTATGTGTGCTCTGAATTGTTGTTCATTAAAGATTCAACGGCTCCCCACCTTCACTCAATTTGCACGAAAGTACTCGATGTTCTCCGGATTGTTCTTTAGACCACGCAGAGAGGGAGTACGTAGAAAAGTTGGTGAGGAAGATAAAAATAATCCCCTCAAGAATCCTTCTGTGTGATTATGGAGTAGGTGTTAGTGCAGGAAGGTATAGGTTGAGCAAATGACATGTAACCATGTATAGCGAGTATACAACTTTACCGGGAATCTCATAAGGCTGGAACCACTCCCTTCGTGGGTAATTGGAAGTGAAGTGAATACGTATAGAATGGAAACCAGCTCTCCAATTATTAACCAGGCTGCTGCTTTAGTGCCATAACGAAGCCTTTATAAACAGAGCTGCCCTTAAGTGGGTTCCAGCAGTGCGCTATAGAAGAATGAGTTAAGATGAAATTGCTGGAGGTGATGGAAAATGCACGAGGGGTCGTCAGGAGAAGTTTAATTTAATTGTACAAACGGGAACATATATTTCCTTTCTGTCTGCATAAGGTTGTTGAAAAGTCCAGCCTTGGAGGAAATACTGTCTGTTGATTGTGTATACGGAAACGATATTTCGATCTCTCTGTCTGTACATGATGAAAGATTGTCGCCAAGGCAGCAGAGCTCTGAATATAGCTATTGTCTCACACGCACGCACACACGCACGCACGCACGCGCGTTGTCTAACACGCTAACACAGTTCTGTATGCTGTTATGTTCAGTCATCATTCTTATGTTGAACATGAATACATTTACTTTGTAAGTAATTATGGGACGTATTTCTTCTTTCATAGCAATTTTCCTTCATACTTTCTCGCCGTGAAATAGGTCTTAAATTCTATTCAAAGTGGTCTTAATAAGTCTTACATTTGAGTTGGTGAAACCTGCAGGAACTCTGTATACTACAGGGTGTCCGCGGGGTCTTAAAAAGTATTAAAAGTTGATAAATCAAATTAGTGAAAATGAAGGCTATTAAAAAGTATTAAACGGCATTTCCCAAGGTATTACATTTTGTAGCTTGTTTTCAATAAGTATATAAATTGTCCAAAGAGGTTGTATTCTACAGTCTGCCTGAATGTAATCATTGCGTAGGTGTGTAGTGTGATTCTGTGTAGTTTATTTATGGCATCCGGTTGGATTTGACGTCATCTGAACAGGACATCGCACGCTCACTGCTTGATAGCGCGCGAAGGTCCGTTTACGCCGGTTGTTAAACAACATCGTTATGGGGAAATTCAAGTCTGCGTCCAAATGGTTGGAAGATAAGGAGGAAGGACAATCAATACTGTATATAGTAAATGTGAGGTAAAGTGTGTCGCCAATGTAACCGGTTAGAACTCAAAGTGGCGATGAGATCTTCAAATTTATGGAAAGGGTCTTAAAAAAGGTCTTAAAAGGTTTTACATTTGACTTCAGGATTCCTGCATATACCCTGTAAAATGCTAACTCATTCCCAGACTCATTCCTGCCCCACTTTATTTTACTTACTTTACATTCTCAGTTTTTATGTTCATTTCTTTCCAGCTTCACTTTTGATATCATTGCCCAACTTATTTCCCAGTGAAGGGATGACGATGCCAAAATAATTACAAATAAATACCGTTGACTTATCCTCCTATTGGGTATTCTAAGTTCCTTCTTCCACCTGTACAGTATAGTTGTGTTTCTCACATTTTCTTATTGCTATGTGCGGTGGCGATTCTAGAGTCTGTGGGGGCCCGAGGCAAAAATTCACTGGGGGCCCCTCGAACCAGCTTCCCCCCCCCCCCCCCCCCCCCCCCCCCCCCCCCCCCCCCCCCCTCCCCCAGAGCGGAGCAAGGCAACGAAACTTAAAATAAGAAGCAGAATTTTACGGCACGCTATGCACGGGGCCTCCTTGAGGGGCTTTCCCGACATGTTGTTGCAGGAAATTAAAGGTTGTGTCATGTTGTCGTTGCTGTGGACCTGGATCTTAATCTACCTTCTTTGGGGGCCCCCTTCTGGTCCGGGGCCCCAAGCAGTTTAAATACAATTTAAAGCAGCGTTAAAAAGTAGAACATATACAGTAGACCGTGAAGATAATGAATCTATAAACTCTGACAATAAAACACTATTGAAGGGCTTTAGACACAATATAAAGCGGGATATTATTTACATTAAGAGTGATGGGAATGGAATATTAAATACAAAATAAATGTATAATATACACTATATCCAGTCTCAACTCCCTGCAATCATGGCGAGGATGTGATTGCTGCCAGACTTTGGTGATTCAACTTCTAAACTTTAGAGTTTTTACATAATTCACAAGTTTTCCGCTCCCAAATATCCAGTTTCTGAGTTGCAATCATACTCTCTGTGTCTCTGACTAGATTTGCTTCTCGCAGTGCATCACTTCTGCAGCCTCCACTACTTTTAATTGGCAGGAGTGAACACACACTCTTTTATCCTGTGCTGATAGGTGTGTGTGTGTGAGTGTGTGTGTGTGTGTGTGAGGAGGAGGAGAGGAGCTGAACCCAATCAGACTCAAGATTGGCAGGAAGCTACTTTGAGTGATGAACAACAGACGCTGAAGATACACTGACATGGCACACCTATTGAAACATGCACACACGCACGCACACGCACACGCACACACATGCACTAACTCACGACAGTATTGCAGACTTTAAACCTTTAGTTTTGATGATTTACCAAATCAAAGGCGCCCTATTATGCTCATTTCAGGTTCTTTGTCAGATACAAAACATTTTTTTTTCATTAACATATTAAATGACATTTTATCTGTGTTTGAAGGTACACCTCTGCTATGATGGTTTCATCTTATCTAATTTCCCTATTTCTCTCTTTCCTCTCGTCTCTCAGGTGATGCTGGCTGCTTCTTATTGGTCGTTGCTGGCGCCGGCGATCGGCATGGCCGAGGATTCTGGGAAATACGGCTCGTTTGCCTTCGTCCCTGTGGCGGTGGGGTTCACACTCGGAGCGGCGTTCGTCTACTTCGCTGACCTCGCCATGCCCCTTCTGGTAGGAAACCTCTCACACACACAGTGTATTCTGCAGGGAAGAGTGTGTGTGTGTGTGTAGTGTGTGTTTGCAGTGGTGTGTGTGTGATGTATGCACAGGCACACAGTGACATAAAACAGACACGAACAATAACAGGAAACAGAATTAATGTTCACCTAAAAACTAGAGGAAATTGTCCGGCAGTCATCTCATTATTTTGAGCCAATTTAACCCAAATGGAGTGAGCACCGTTGCATCACCACTCATTTATTCATTAGTAACCACATGTTTAATTAGAAGAAACATGTTTTGCATTTTCATTTCTTTCTTACTAATTGTAGACGATGAAACTTATTAATTTTAAAGATCAAAACAAGCTTTTAATGAGTGAAAAATGACTTGAAAAGAACGCCAGATTCTGAACTTATAATTGGATGAATTAAGAAATCACCCACTGTTTTCTGTCAAAATGATCTCATGCTTTTCTACTTATAAACTCTAATTAGAGCGCGTCTCGAAATCCATATTTTTTCACAGATTTGATCGGGATAAGTCTAATCACATGATCCTTTTTATAAGAAACTTCCTCTGCAAATATTAGGCAATTAGAGATCCAGACACTATATGATTAACCAACATTAATTAAAAAGCTGTCATGGTGAATTATGGGTTCTTGTGTCGGATTGTCACATTGACTTCTACACATTTACACGAGTTAGAAAGACAGAAAGCTTGAGAAATAACCTGAGTTTGAAGCTTTTAACGAGGGTAGTGCTCTCGTTAATTTTTTACTTGATTGTCTGCGACTCTGGGGTGTTTTTTAATTCAAAGTTGTCCAAAAAACATCATAAGGCTCCAAAATCTACCATTTTCAATTTAGCATGGGCTGTAATTAATTAAAAGTTGACTCTTAGGCATGGCCTTTAGCATTGGACTTAATTTAGTTTCACTACAGCCCTCACATCTTCAGAATCACTGCCAATTAAGACTGGTTTACTTTAAAATAATACTGAACCAGTTGGACAAGGTCATTAGGCGCTTTCACACCGGAGTAATTTCCCGTTTAGTTCCGTTAGTGCCTGGAATTTTGCGTTCACACCAAAAAGATAACTTAGTTCAGAGAACTTTTACCCCAATTTCTAGTGCCTGCTAGAGAGGTGGGACTATCCTGGGGAGAAAAAAGTACCAATTTCTGATTGGCTGGGCGAATTGCAAACCACGCCCCGTAAAACTCTGAAATGTTTTTTGAAGCCGCCATTGTATTTGCTGGCATTAGCATTATTAGCATTAGCATTAGCCCCGCGCACCAACGGAGAGAGAATAACTTATGGCAACACAAAAAAAAACATGGGAGCGGTGGAGTGATGAGGAGGTGTCGGCGTTCTGGCGATTTACTCGGAAGGCTTCAGTAGAAGCTGCTGGGAGTCCCAGCAGCTTCTACTGAAGCCAGTCCCCAACTCCGGGGACTTCCGGCCGGCGACTCCGGGTGGCAGTATACGCCGTGAAGTTGTTTGCGGCCTGCCAGTAAACCCAAAGCAGAAGAAGAAGAAGTGACGTCAGCGGCTTCATTTGCGTAATCTTCCCTCAGGGAATTTATTCCGGTGTGAACGCGATCTGCTCTTTAGTTCCATGGGGATACTAAGTGCTGGGTACTAAGTACGGCAAAGTACTTGGTGTGAAAGCGGCTATTATTATTTCAGCAGGAGTTTTGAAGCCGAACAGATGAGCTTTTTAACAGTCTCCTAATTTTTTAATTCTTCCATGGGTTTAATTCACAAGTTCTCCAAGTCCCTTTTTAATCTCGATTCTCGGAGGTGTTTTTTTAATTTGAAAGAAGCCCTATTAGGCTTTCTTTGAGTTTGGGAAATGGACACAGAGAGACAGAAATGGGCAGAAAGAGACAGAAAATGGGCAGAAAGAGACGGAAAGAGACAAGTAATGGATACAGTAATGGATGGAGAAAGACATAACAAGGACATAGAGACAAAAAATGGACTAGAACAGACAGCAGTGGACAGTGAGAGACAGACATGTAAATAAAGAGATGGAAATGGATAAAGAAACAAAGACAGAAATGGACAGAGAGACAGAAATGGGCGGAGAGAGATGGAAATCAACAGAGGAAGACAGAAATGGGCAGGGGTAAAGACAGAAATTGACACAAAGAGACAGAAATGGATGGAGGGAAAGACAGCAATTGACAGATGGAGGCAAAAAGAAAAGGACAGAAAATTGAGATAGAGACAGAGAAATGGACAAAATATGGACATAGAGACAGAGAAATGGACATGAAGAGACAGAGAAATGGACATGAAGAGACAGAGAAATGGACATAGAGACAGAGAAATGGACATGAAGAGACAGAGAAATGGACATGGAGACAGAGAAATTGACAAAACATGGACATGGAGACAGAGAAATGGACATAGAGACAGAGAAATGGACATAGAGACAGAGAAATTGACAAAACATGGACATGGAGACAGAGAAATGGACATAGAGACAGAGAAATGGACATAGAGACAGAGAAATGGACATGAAGAGACAGAGAAATGGACATAGAGACAGAGAAATGGACATGAAGAGACAGAGAAATGGACATGGAGACAGAGAAATGGACATGGAGACAGAGAAATGGACATAGAGACAGAGAAATGGACATGAAGAGACAGAGAAATGGACATAGAGACAGAGAAATGGACATGAAGAGACAGAGAAATGGACATGGAGACAGAGAAATGGACATGGAGACAGAGAAATGGACATAGAGACAGAGAAATGGACATAGAGACAGAGAAATGGACATGAAGAGACAGAGAAATGGACATGAAGAGACAGAGAAATGGACATGAAGAGACAGAGAAATGGACATAGAGACAGAGAAATGGACATGAAGAGACAGAGAAACAGACAGGAAGAGACAGAGAAACGGACATGAAGAGACAGAGAAATGGACATAGAGACAGAGAAATGGACATAGACAGAGAAATGGACGAAGAGAAATGGACATAGAGACAGAGAAATGGACATGAAGAGACAGAGAAATGGACATAGAGACAGAGAAATGGACATGAAGAGACAGAGAAATGGACATGAAGAGACAGAGAAATAGACATAGAGACAGAGAAATGGACATAGAGACAGAGAAATGGACGAAGAGAAATGGACATAGAGACAGAGAAATGGACATGAAGAGACAGAGAAATGGACATAGAGACAGAGAAATGGACATGAAGAGACAGAGAAATGGACATGAAGAGACAGAGAAATGGACATGAAGAGACAGAGAAATGGACATAGAGACAGAGAAATGGACATGAAGAGACAGAGAAATGGACAGGAAGAGACAGAGAAATGGACATAGAGACAGAGAAATGGACATAGAGACAGAGAAATGGACAAGAGACAGAGAAATGGACAGAGAGACAGAGAAATGGACATAGAGACAGAGAAATGGACAAGAGACAGAGAAATGGACAGAGAGACAGAGAAATGGACATGAAGAGACAGAGAAATGGACATGAAGAGACAGAGAAATGGACAGGAAGAGACAGAGAAATGGACATAGAGACAGAGAAATGGACAGGAAGAGACAGAGAAATGGACAGAACATGGACATAGAGACAGAGAAGTGGACATAGAGACAGAGAAACGGACATAGAGACAGAGAAACGGACAGGAAGAGACAGAGAAATGGACATAGAGACAGAGAAACGGACATAGAGACAGAGAAGTGGACATAGAGACAGAGAAATGGACATAGAGACAGAGAAACGGACAGGAAGAGACAGAGAAATGGACATAGAGACAGAGAAACGGACATAGAGACAGAGAAACGGACAGGAAGAGACAGAGAAATGGACATAGAGACAGAGAAACGGACAGGAAGAGACAGAGAAATGGACATAGAGACAGAGAAATGGACATAGAGACAGAGAAACGGACAGGAAGAGACAGAGAAATGGACATAGAGACAGAGAAACGGACAGGAAGAGACAGAGAAATGGACATAGAGACAGAGAAACGGACATAGAGACAGAGAAACGGACAGGAAGAGACAGAGAAATGGACATGAAGAGACAGAGAAATGGACATAGAGACAGAGAAATGGACATAGAGACAGAGAAATGGACATGAAGAGACAGAGAAATGGACATAGAGACAGAGAAACAGACAGGAAGAGACAGAGAAACAGACAGGAAGAGACAGCGATGAACTGAGACAGACGTAAATGTGATGCAGCCACTAGAGTCAGAGCATCAGAGAACAGCTGTTGCCTTAAGCTCTTGAAATCACACCATAACGGCAGCGATGACACAAATTAGATCTGAAGGAGCGGCCAAAACATGGCTGCCGTTCACACTCGTACAAGATGACACACACTCTTATAAATACACCCTGAGGAGGATGTAGAGTGAAGCAAGACGATGATACATCCCATCTATACGGACCTAAACAAGCTGGTGCACACGCATGAAAGAAAGCAGGGTTTACCTTTACTGCTCTGATTCAAATTCTGTCCATTTCTCTCTCTCTCTCTTTGGACATTTCTGTCTTTTTGTGTCCATTTCTGTCTCTCCTTGTCCAATGTATATCTCTGTCTTTCTCTCTCTTTGTTTCTGTCTCTCTCCTTCCATTTCTCAAACCCAAAAAAGCACAATATGGCTTCTTTGAAAATTAAATAAATACCTCAGAGTCCAAGAGAATTGGGATCAAAGAGAAACTGGATGACTTGTGTATTAAAACATTTATTTTTATAAATTACAGCACATGCTAAATTGCAAACGGTAGATTTTGGAGGCTGATTATGATGTTTTTTGGACAACATATCATTATAGCCTGAGGGTGTTCGTTTCAAAACAACGAGAGCTCTGAGAGACTGGGATATTAAATCCAGGGTAGGTTATTCTCTGTCGAAGTTAAATCCCTTTACTTAACTTTTGAGGAATACCTCTGCAACAAGTCTGTTTACGACCAAGTCTGAAAACGATATTTGTACATTGTTCTGCTTCCTGTGTACT